AACTAATAAATTACAAAAACAACAAAATTACTAAAACTTTAACTAAAAATACATTGAGAATGGAAAATATAAAAATAAAAACTCAAATTCAAAATATTAATAATGCTATAATTGTATCTCATTGATTCTAAAATATCACTGTCACTCTATTGAAGATCACTGTCGCTATCTTCAATAATGCATGGCCTCTGTGTTTGTTTGAGGTCATTATTTCTGCAATTCCCTTCAGAGCCGTTAAAGCTGCAGAAATTACACACTTCACCTTTAAACATTAGTTATAGCAGTTCATACACAACAACAGCCTGCAGAAACGTCTACATAACCAGCCCACGACACGCATTCAGACAGAAACAACACTGCGTTTACATGCTCCTTCATAATGCCATTAAAGCTGGAGCTCCTGTAAACAGAGTACTGTGATTACATTAATGTCATTATATTCATTATTTGAGTAACCGTAATCATAACGATTTCAAAATCGCACTATACAGGCATTTCAGACAGAAGCACCACAGCTCAGCTGAGGATCAGGACATTGTGAGTTTTATAGATAGTCAGAAAAAAACAATTTATGAGGGAACGGACTCTTTCATTAATTTTTGGTTTCAACTGAAATGGGTTTTGCATAACATCACATTTAGCTCAGGAACCCCATTAAAAGTATCTTGATAGTTAGCTAGAGAAACGGGGTTTCTGGGGGTTTTATAAAGGTACATTTAAGACTTTAAGACCTTTATAAGACCAAGCAAAGGAATAAATCGAAGGCAACACAATATGTCAATATGATCTCTAAATGTTTTGTTGTCGTTTTATGAGAAATTAATCAAAATCAGGGCTCGACGCTTACTTTTCTTTTTAGGAGCACTTGTGCTCCTAACTTAAAAAATTTAGGTGCACCTTCTAAACAATAATCCAAAATGTTATCAAAAAGTAGCCTTCCCATTACGAGGTAATAAAATGAAGTGAGTTTTTGACTAAAACAAGAACAAATATATTTATTAATTCAAAGGGAAAACAAGTTTTCATTCCCCATTGACAGATATTTGTTCTTGTTTTAACAAACAGGCCGAGTGCATTTGAATTGAGCACGTGGGTTAAATTTTGTTCAATTTTTCAAGACTTAATTTTTCATTACATTCGCTCACGTTTACATATCAAGTAAATGCATAAAGTAAATGTTGATTTAAGGATGCTTAAATATTTGCATTGAAAAACGAAAATACTGATGAAGGTATTAAATTACTGCAATACATGCAACATTAAATGCTATGACTATATGAATTTACAAGCGCCGTTTCCACGGCAACACTCAAACGCCGTTTCCACGGCAACACTCACAAGCTCCGTTTCCACAGCAACACTCACAAGCGCTGTTTCCACAGTAACACTCACAAGCCTCGTTTCCACGGCAACATTTAAGACTTTTTGCTCTGATTTAAGGCCTTAATTTGTGACAGAAACCCTGAAAAAATAACCCTAGAGAGCAGCAGCATATTGATAAATATATATATTTTTTTACTTAACCTGTTATTTATTGCATATTTTAATATACGATTGAATAAATCTGTCATGAACAAGTTTTTAAATGTAAACGTTTATATTTCCAACAATTTGGATTAGAATAAATATCACCTAAAAGTTTGTATAAAAATGCCTTATCTGTAATTTAAATGTTTGCATACATCCATTATAGTGTTGAATATTAATTACATTAGATTAAGTAACCCATTATTAAATAAAAAAAACATCTGAAATAGATTTTTTTGGTAAAAATTCCATTTTAGTGCCACTAGTTGAGAGTTATGAAGTGTCCTTTGTCTAACAAAACTATAAAAGCAAAGCAATAAACAAACACATAGCAGTGTCTGGATCAGCGATCGTGAACTCTGCTCACCTCAATGGTGTAGGTCTGGTCATGTGTGACGGTTTCTCCGCTCCGGAGGGAAAACACGGCGGTCTGCTCCTCCGCGTCCGATTCCGGCTTCTTTTTCTTCTTCTTCTGCTTCTTCTGGCCATCAGATTGAGCTTTCCTCTGCCGGTACTCGGCCAGCTGGAGGAGACCAGACACAAACACACGCTTATGAGCGACAAAAATCACACACAGAGTAAAATAGTCTGTGAATGTAAAAAATCAGACAGTAAAAACCCACGGTAAAGCGGCACAGCTTGGTGAAGCTGAGCCGAATCATGCCTGATTGTTGAGCAACACCGTCACCTTCCTGCGCTCTGCCACCGCAAATCCTTCAACTTTGCTTTAACCGGATTAGCAGCACAGACGCCCATTAACACAGACATCTGTTTCATCAATATGCAACCGCATGCGGTCAACATCTATCTGTTCATCACTCATGTGAAGCATAAATCATCTTCAGGAAGGAATACGAGCTCTAAAGATCCTGAGAACTCAAACATGAACATCTTGATCAAATGTGAGCACAAAAGCAGTCTTAAGTCGCTGGGGTATATTTGTAGCATTAGCCAACAATACATTGTATGGGTCAAAATTATAAATTTTTCTTTTATGCCAAAAATCATGTTCCATGAAGATAGTTTGTACATTTCCTACCGTAAATATATCAAAACTTAATTTTTGATTAGTAATATGCATTGCTAAGAACTTCATTAGGACAACTTTAAAGATGATTTTCTCAATATTTTTTTTGCACCCTCAGATTCCAGATTTTCAAATAGTTGTATCTCAGACAAATTTTGGCCTATCCTAACAAACCAATTTCAGAAAAATTGACCCTTATGACTGGTTTTGTGCTCCAGGGTAATGAATCCTTCGCTCGTGCTGGAACAGGATTTACTGTCACACTAATAAAGTGTGTTAAAAACCAGAGCAGCTCTGGATTACACTTGCTGACCCAAATCTAGTAACCCAGTGTTAAGATCCTGCAGCGTCTGGAAGTGTAAATTAAACCCCACTATTTACGCTCCTAGCCCTCATGCTGTGTTCGGGTCACTTTGACCGGAGAGGATTTGCTTTTTCCTGAAGATGCTAGCTAATGTTAATGCATTGGACTAAAACTTACTGGCTTTGATCACAGAGGCTACAACTATTTTGGCTTCCAAAAAATATATTGGGATTTTTTTTTCTAGGTCAGAAATGTTTGTCCTACAAAAACAATGTATTTATTATGCTATATTATCACCAAATGTTGGATTCGGTCTTATTATAAACTTATTTTCTGCAGTTTCTGTTTCTTTTTGGATCTGACTGATCATAGCCCACACTGATCTGAGCTCATGCTGCTCGGTTTTTGAGTGAAAAAGCATTATTTGTGGATAATTTTGGCTCATAAACTGAGGTGCATAAGTTCCGAACAATGATGCCTACGATCAGTCAGATCCAAAAAGAAACACAGAAACTGCGCTAATTGACGGAAAACAAGTTGACAAAAAGATTGAATGCAAGATTTGGTAATAATGTAGTATAACAAGTGATTTAGAAGCCATTAAAAATATATATTTTTGACCAGGAACACCAAATTAGGTAAAGGATTCAAAACTTGAGCTGGTTTTTCATTTATGCATTCGGCAGTTGCATTTATCCAAAGCAACTTACATTGCATTTAATTAACACTGGGAATCAAACCCATGACCTTGTCGTTGCTAGCATCGTCCTCTAATGTTTGAGCTACAGGAACGCTTCAACCTTTCACCTTCAGACTTCAATTCAATCAATCCCCAAAAGAAAAAAAATAATGTGCCGCCCTATATTTTTTCTGTTTAACAAACCTTTCTACTCAGAAATACTGCACATTACATGAGTAAAATGAGTTGCATGCCACCCACGGCTAAACAGAACACCTGACAGAATAACAGCATCTGTAATTCAACACACACACACACATACATGTCACAAAGCCAGCAGCTGAGAGAGAAAGTAATGGCCACCTGTCTTTAGCCAGACACACAAAGACACACAAACACAGTCTTTAGCCACACACACACACACACTAGGCTTGCCGCAATAGACGGTGCTGACGGTGATACCGGTGTTAAGCCGCAACACCGGTTACGTCACTTGCCCACCGCGGCACCGACCCCCACCGTCGTTTAGATTTTTTATAGTAATAAAAATAATTTGTTCAGTAAAAGAACAGACACTACAATTAAAAACTGAACGCGGCTGCTCAATGCAGCGTGCCGAACGACAGTCGCATCACACAGATCAGATTTAATGCAGCGTGCCGAACGACAGTCGCATCACAGATCAGATTTCATTTCTCCAGTGAGGAGAGTGAGTCGAGCTGACTGACAAGAAGAGTGAGGTGAGACAGACCAGAAGAGTGAGGTGAGACAGACCAGAAGAGTGAGGTGAGACAGACCAGAAGAGTGAGGTGAGACAGACCAGAAGAGTGAGGTGAGACAGACCAGAAGAGTGAGGTGAGACAGACCAGAAGAGTGAGGTGAGACAGACCAGAAGAGTGAGGTGAGACAGACCAGAAGAGTGAGGTGAGACAGACCAGAAGAGTGAGGTGAGACAGACCAGAAGAGTGAGGTGAGACAGACCAGAAGAGTGAGGTGAGACAGACCAGAAGAGTGAGGTGAGACAGACCAGAAGAGTGAGGTGAGACAGACAAGACGAGTGAGGTGAGACAGACAAGAAGAGCGAGGTGAGACAGACAAGACGATTGCGGATGATTTAAGTAAAATGCGCACGGCGCTTTCAAGCTATTTAAAAGCGCCGGAAAGCGAGGAAAAGAGGGAAAATTCAAACGAACTAAAAACGAACAATTGCTTTACGCCGAATTGCTGCTATTTGAAAGTGAAAGTAAAATGGGCACACCGCTTTTACAAGCTATTTAAAAGTGAAGGAAAGCGAGGAAAAGAGGGAACGCCCCCGCGGTGATACCGGTATTACAGGTGTTGTCACACGTCGATTAACTGGTGGGAAAATTTCCTCACCGTCACAACCCTAACAAACACCTGTCTTTAGCCACACACACACACAGCTGTTGAACGAGAGCAGCACTTCAGCAGTAACAACCCGCTATTTCCATCAGAGACTCCAAACCACATGAGTTCATACGGGATTCATTTCACAAAGATCTTTAGGTTTCGATTTAATACTAAATTTTGCAAATAAATACATAATCAAATAATTAAATGCATCATCAAATGTTGCATTAAATAAATAAAATACAATGAAATGATAGCATAAAAAGGCAAGGAAAAATATTTATTAATTTAATGAAATGAAAAAGGATGTGAAATACCACATGAATACACTTTAGAATGCTAAATGAAATGTATACCTTAAATAAAATGTAGCGGACAGACGGAGAATTTGCATAAAGCAAATCAATATTAAAATAAAAATATCAATCCTGAAAATAAATACATCATAAAAATGTTGCAATCAATAAACATATGCATAATGAAAGTGACTACAAATAAATAAATAAATAAAATGCAAATTATTTATGCAAAATGAAGTGACCTGAAATACAATTTCATTGTACTTGATTTATTTGAAATAAATATACATTTTCATTGCACTTTTATTTTATTTATTTATTTAGTGTGCTTTAATTTATTTATTTATTTATTGCAACAGGAATAAATATTAAATAAACTCATTGTACTTTTATTTTATTATTTATTTATTGCAACCGTAATAAATATGAAATATTTAATCATTGCATTCATTTTCTTTATTTAATTCAGTCTGTTAAATCCCTCCACAGAATGAAGAAAATAAAAGTCTGTCTTTAGCGTATAACCATTTCTTTGGCAGATACGTAACATACATGTGAACAATGTACTAAAATGCACTGACAAGACAATTAATTAATTTCTATAAATTGTTATAGCTAAAAACCTTTTTCTCCTCTATAACACCTGAACATTTCAATCTCACGCTGACATTTCACCCAGAAACTCCCTCTCAAACGCTCAAGAACACGAGTGAGAAACACATTTCACATTTCCCAGAAAACCTCTTAACGGCAGAGCCGAAATACAGCTGATTAAAAGTGACCTGAAATACAATTTCATTGTACTTGATTTATTTGAAATAAATATACATTTTCATTGCACTTTTATTTTATTTATTTATTTAGTGTGCTTTAATTTATTTATTTATTTATTGCAACAGGAATAAATATTAAATAAACTCATTGTACTTTTATTTTATTATTTATTTATTGCAACCGTAATAAATATGAAATATTTAATCATTGCATTCATTTTCTTTATTTAATTCAGTCTGTTAAATCCCTCCACAGAATGAAGAAAATAATAGTCTGTCTTTAGCATATAACCATTTCTTTGGCAGATACGTAACATACATGTGAACAATGTACTAAAATGCACTGACAAGACACTCAATTAATTTCTATAAATTGTTATAGCTAAAAACCTTTTTCTCCTCTATAACACGTGAACATTTCAATCTCACGCTGACATTTCACCCAGAAACTCCCTCTCAAACGCTCAAGAACACGAGTGAGAAACACATTTCACATTTCCCAGAAAACCTCTTA